ATTAGTTCACTTGAGAGGAGACCAGATATCAGGAAGATTTACTCTGAAAACAAAAATACCGAATTAGCTGCAGAAAGAAGCATCCTGCCAAGTCTAAAATGGGGAGCAAACAAAGAGATGCTGACATCATTACAGCGACGATCATTTTGTGCTGCAGCCATCATAAACTTTTCATCAAACGAACCATCTGTCCGATTTCTTTTGCCACAGGATAAACTTTTGAAAATGGAACTGAATTGAAACCTCTGGTCCTATTGAAAAGACGCATCTTTCTGCAACAGATCACACCGAGTGAACCATCTGCGGGATTTCTCGGTAAAAGTCTCGAATCACTTGCCTCATTACATAAGTTAACAATTCATTGTCTCTTTTCATTCCCATCAAAATGCATCATTACATACCTATTACATGAACACAAACAACTTGATCAACTTTGTGCTGCGTTCACAGAATCACATTAGGGTCATTGTCCATGTGAATTCTCATGTGAGGAGTTCTGCATTTTTCAGGAAAAACAGAATCATTATTACAGATAACAATCCACTCTGTGCACAGGACTAGATTAATCACTATCTGTTCAAGAAACTGCGAATTATTACATCAGTAACCGAGCTGTCCATCTTCTGTTGTGTTCACATGCCCTTATTAAGCATATTGTCTTTTCCTGGGACCCTTTGTGTTGGGTACACATAACCCAGGCTAACCCAGTCTAACTGACCCATTGTCTACAATAAATTAATAAACATTTATTGATTCCTCCTCCTATTACCCATACTTAAAATACACTGGCGTTTCTGCCTCACTTGTTCTCTTGTGTTATGTATTGACTTGGGTGTCATCAATATGCGGAACCTGAGCTTTCAAGTACACTTGACAGATTTCTGGGTTTGAAGTTTTCTTTTTCTTTATCCTTATATCTTGTATGAAATTCAAGGCTACTAATTCATCTAACTATGGTCTAAAATTTAATTACGTTTAACTTGTAAATTGTATTTTCTCCAATTGTTCTTGCAGATTTGATTTAAATCATTCCTACTTTCTAAATGTCTACTTTACCATAATTGGTGAAATTAACCATTACCAAAATGCCACAAAAATTAGAAACTACTGAGAAAATCAATTTTAGCCATATAACAGTCTAACACCCAAATATATGCCATAAAAAATTCTTATTCAAAACTTTGTTTGCTGGCAGGGTTGGCTGTTGCAGTCAAATCAGGGCCTTTCTAGTTTTGAAGTTTGTGTCAGTCCGAGTCACATTTCTCTCTTTTGTCTTTATACTAAAACTGATACGAAGCAGGTAAAAAAAGCAAACAAATGTCCCCCAAAAGATGGGTAAACTCAAACCTGTGGCATCTTCACAAAGTCCTGTTAGAGAAACAGAAGATATTTACCGTGCTTAATCTAGTGTGTATGGTAAATCAATATCATAAAAAATTTGAAGCATGTTGACAATAACCTGAAAATCAAATGCAATATTGATAACTTCTGATAAAGTAATTGGTACAAGTGCAGTGACATTTATTTACCCAACTTGGAAACTTTTTAAAAGTAGTTTGAGCAGCACAATGAAACTCGATCCAATGCTACTTGAAACTTTCCAATATATTTACCGCCTTCCAGTAGCTACAAACAAGACTTCATGCATTTTTTGTGAAAAGTAAATTTGAAGATCTGTTCTACAAATACAGTATACCGGAATACCCTGGCAAGATGTGATTCTATAGCAACTCCCTAAAATCTTTAGCAAACTGTCAATGCAAGAGAAATCTGCACACTTAAAGAGGATGCCAAGTCACTTGTATCATAAGCCATTGCATCAAGAACACTTCAGGAAGAGCAGGTGTATCGGCACTAGTACCTCACTCATGATCTTGGAAAAAGATGGAACCACTTACGAAAGATATAATTGATCTACTAAACTACGTTTCAGGAACTCTGACCAAGAACATCACTTATGATAATCTTGTTCTTATCAGATTAAATGATACTTCCACTTGCACGTGACGACTTGAATAATGTTTGTAGTTATACTAGGGTGTTTTAGATGCTTTAATTTTTAACTCGTTTCAAAATCAAGAATGCATTCTTCCTCTTTAAGTATAGAAAGTTTTGGCAAATATCAAGTATTGTAACACCTAACATGTATTTGCAATTATGCAACTATTCAAGGGTGAAACCAACAAAAATGTGATTACCACAGAATCCTAGAAATGCAGCATAATCACGTTGCACACAAATACATTTTGAAGCCCTATCAATAACTTCAGCATATAGCAGTCTCTGTACGATGCCATATAAGTAGACATCTTATCAGACTGTCTCCCTTCTCATCAATGTACACATCCATCTAGCATGGGTGTTGAAGCAAACAGAATTGCTTAATCAGCCATGTCTTAGATGTACTAAGTAACTTGATTCTTCACTTTCTCTTCACTATTGCACAATTTATTATGCATGTTTTGGTAAATTAATAATATTAGAGCATATTCAAGTGACATAACTTTCTAGAGACGGATGAAGTGATTGCTGGCCTGCAGATTATTATTTATTTTTTTAAACTGTCTAAGTTTTCATTTCAAAGATGTGACAGTTCTTTGCAAAAGAAATTCTTATCCACGTTTGAAAAAATTCCATTTTTTCTTCAAGACAAATTACACAGGATATTAATACTATCCTTCACTCAGCTAAAGCCAAGGGGAAAATAGTTCTCAAAACATATATATTTATATTTTTCACAGTAATAATCATAATACATAGATAACTGGTTAGTGCACGAAAATATTGCCAGCAATTCTTTGTGTCAAAATTCCACAAGAGTCCCTTTTAATTTCAATGTTTAATTTATAGTTGCTAATATGAATGTCCATAACTAAACTGCCCCCATCTTCCTCAGAATTATATCCCAATACAAACTGACCGCTACTAACCAAAACATATTTCTATCTTCTGGAAAACTGCTTCATAAAAAAAACTCGCTCTTTTATAAAGGTACATGTAAAAAGACACAAAAGGAAAAGTGATTTAACATTCATACGCAGCTAAAAAAAATACCTGAACTGATCACAGCGGGAAACACCAGACATCATCAGGTCTTGGCTGGGGTAGCGCCTTAACACTCGCCAATTTAGCCAAATGCTAAACTGGACTGAAATTGGCTAAACCAATTAAGAGTTGATTTGGCTTATTTTAGCCAAATTTAAACCATTTGGTCCAAAAACAACGAAAAAGTAGTAATTTGGCTAAATGAAAAAAAATTGCTAGCGCCACCCCAGCTTGGGGTCTACTAAAATATTCTGACCCTGACATACATGTATACCAGTAAGAAGAAATTCCCCCATATATCGATCTACTAACCTCATGTGTGACTGTAATACTCCGGCCCTTGGATGCATCCCAGTTATCAGTGTATTGCTCATTGATCTCTCTCTTACTTCAAGTGTAGATATCACACACACTATATTAAACTGTGGAGCTTTCCAACCAGACACATTATACAAAATGACCAACCATCTTACATATACTAACAAATAATACTGCTTAAATGAGATATTGGATGGAAAAATATTTGGCTGCATTTCATGAAGTATAATTAATTCTCAGACATTACCCAAAGTCTACAATACAATATGAATACCATCCAATCGTGTTACTTACAGCATTGGCCTTTTATTGTCTCACTGCTTTTATCTATTACTACTTCAATAGGCAATTATGCCCGTTGTTTTCTTCCCAATGCATTGGCCAGACACAATGTACATTAAAAACCAACCTGCTGCCTCTTCCTGTCTGCGTTTTTAGATGTTAATTTGTCATTCAAGTATAATATTTCTCGGATCCAAAGAGAAGAAGCCCTCTCTTGGGACAGACATCTTAATTCTGTATTTGATGAGTTCCAAGTATAATTGTATACATTTCATATTGATACAGCTGCTAGCTAAAAGATAGACTATATTGAAGGTAGACTATATTGTATGATTTCAAATTTAAACTCATTGCCGAGAATCAAATGGAATTTTGCAAATAACATAAAAGCCCTCAAAAAAAAACTGACAACTATGCAAAATTGTACGATGCACTCAGATTTGATGGCAATTCAAATAAGATGTTTTACAAAGTTTCTATAGCGTGTCTGACAATGTGCAACTCATTGCTACAAACATATTCTGTTACACTGTAAAACAAATGTGATTTTCTAACTACGGCTTCACACATGGGGCAACTGTTTCTAGTTTTTCCTGTTTGAGCAATTTGTTATCTTTCCCAGTTGAGGTATGCAAGTGCAGGCGCTTTCAAATCCATTCCAAACATTTTGGTTCTATTGAACCCAAGGAGCTTAACAACTGTTTCCCTTATCCCTAAGTCTAGTCCAATAGAACAAAATAAAACATGCAAACTGCAGAATCTATGGATTTTATTTCTGGGATATCTTTTTGCACAGGATTTACCAAACGATGACACATGTACATATTTTCAAAGATTCAACATGTTTAACCAAGCAATATTTTACACATAAGAATCTTGCGTATTGTTAGTGCATAATTAGCACATACAGAGCAATATAGAAACATCCAAAACACAACAATTGCTAAATCTCACCTTGTTAGATTCAAAATCTGCCTGGCCTTTCGACAAACAGGAAACGACCACTTGCTAGCAGGGCCGAGTAAGTGAAGGAGCGAAATTCGTGCACTCCTAGCTCAAACGCCACGAGATTCTGATTTAAGACCTGTCATGAAACCACTCACTTGTAGCCTAACACTGGACTGTGAAAATTTACATTTCCCACAGGCTGGACTTGAAATTCAATTTAATATTATGACGGGGTCAACAAGAGGGCGGCCATCTTAGGTCGTCCCAACCGTTGAGTGTAAGCGATGACAACAAGGGGGACATTGGTCTAGTTTATACCCGTGTGCGACCTTTTCTTTGGACTCAAACCAGAAAACAATAAATATGATTTAGCACCGAATGTTTGGCGGTATCCAATAATGTCTTACCTTTTATTATAGGCAGTACAAAGTCCTCTTCCTACAATGTCTCACCTGGGTAAGGAACATGCAGAACCGAAAACACGTTAAATCTGCGCATGTCACCTCAAATGAATTCGGTCATGTGACCCGCACTGGCCAATCACATTGTGTCGCACCTGCGCGGGAGATGAGTCACCTGTATGCATACCTGAAATTCTTCATTCTTTACTCACATATAAATAGTCATAATATAGTTTTAAAAATAAATGTCTACGACACTGTTTTGATTTTTTAAATCACATTTTGATAAAAAAAGAAAAATCGTTATAGATTTAGATTCGAAAGGGGAGAAGAGAAGAAATAATAAGAAATTAATCATTATAGAAAAACTTTTTTTTGTATAGTGTATGTTGTGTGTGCATTTGATTTAAATATTTCAATGGATCTTTATTAAATGAATATAAAGTTGTTGGGTCTCTTCTAAAATTAACGCAATTTAGTGTTGTATAAAAGTGAAAGCTTGCATCAAAATTTAAATCAGCGACTTGAAAAAAGTGCATGCACGGTAGGCATATGCAATTATCAAGCTAAGTGTATTAACAAATGCAATTCTTAAAAGTCTTCAATATTATAGTAACTGGTCCTCAGTAATCATCAAAATAACTGAGATATATCTGCTTTACTAATTAAATAGGCCTAAAAACGACCCAAGGTAGGATTTTATATAGGATTTTCTTCTATTACACAATCCAACCCAGTTTTAACTCATTGCAATTATAATTATTTCCATAATTGACAAGCGTTTACTCAGCGGGATCATGTCCAATCATCTTAACATGTAGCCAGGAAATCTGTATCGAGCTCGGTACGATAATTTTACTTGCGTTTTGAAGATAGTGACATGAATTTTGGAATTTCCTGCAGCACGGTATACACGTTATCTATCATAATGCTAATGTTCTGTATTGATTTCGAGACTTGTGCTAATCATTTCTAATTCACAGACAATTTCATATCCGAGGGAGGGGCGCACAATCGCTTTAAAAAGGATGATGAAAGAATGTTAAAAAACAATAGTTTGGGCAATAGTTTTGTCGAAAAAAGTGGAGATTTTAGCACGTCTAGTATAGGTATTTTGTATCTGCTGGGCACATTTTGTTTGCGCACCCTGAGTTTCATAACTGCAAACTAAGTTACCCGGGTGCAGTGACTGGAAACAGCTGATAATAGAGATTATAGTGTTCGATAAACTGAGACTATCCGGGTGTTTGTAGGGTTTCGTCTTTTGCGCCCAACCCTTGACAGCGCTTGTTATGTGAATTGTAAAAGTAGAGCAAAACATTATATTTTTTTTATTTTTACTGGAAAAAAGGTCCGTGGAAATAGATTTTTTTATGAGAGAATATATAAACCAGATCAGAAATCATGTGAGGTACGCCGCCAGAAGTCACGATTTAAGACAATTTTTAGGCTTGTGGCAAGCATTCCGATTCTCTAATCGTTGCACATTCACCTACATTGTCTCTATCATTAGGTTAACTTTTCTTCATACGATTTTAGAAATGTTTTCGTACAACTATTCATTTTCATTATTGAACAACAACGTAAAATGTTAAAACTAGCGATAATAGCGATATGAAAAACAACAACAATTGAATAAATGCATATCAGTAGCCTACAAAATGATATTGATTAAATTTTTCCACATCAAAGTGTATGGGGTGAATATGTAATTAATAAAAAAAAACAATAACGACACACACACACACACACACCATTGAATTTGGAAGCTTGCTGATAGCCCTTCAGTGGAAAGAAAACACAAGAAAGGAAATTCCATGGAAATTCTAAAAGAGTTGTCAACTTTTCATCTAATTTCCTGGATGCTGCCATGTATCGGTAATTGCATAAGTGGCAAGCGATCGATATTCTAATTGACGAAATTGTTTTCATTTGAGTTTGGGCACAGCGTTATCAGGGACGGCATTTTTTATCGAGGCGTCGACTGCATTTGAAAATGAACACACTGTCTGCCGCTGGAAGTCAGAAGAGGGGGAGGGGGGTGGGACTTCTATCGCCCTGCTGCGAATATTCTCTTTGTAATCTATTAATTTTTTTTCACAGGTGTTTTTAAGATGGTTAAGTCTTAAGCAATCTGCGGTAGATTTTTGGGGTCTGATTTTTTAACGAGGTGATGGTAGATTCCAATATGGAAATTAAATTTACCGATCGAGAAATTGAAAGAGGCTTATTGCATGGGTCTTTTCATGCATTAGGGGTCGCATTTATTGATGATGCCTCAGTATCTAACAGTAATAAAACTAAAATGAAAATACACAGAAGACTCCGCACAACTCGAATTAATGACGATCTCGCACAAATCCAGTGGAAATGATTTTCGTATAGTAGCTGAAACGTAGGGCAAACGAAACCATATGTCGTAGCTGAAACTTTGTGAATATCGCCTGATTGGAATCTTCGCGTAACTCAAACAAAATTTTTGCACCAATAAGTGTCCAAGATATGCGTAGTCCACTATGTGTACATTGGGTGCGTTTCGCGTACAATACACCAATTGCGATAGCTGTACACAAGTTAAGGATGTGACAGTTGTGACGAGTTGTCAAATGCAGCATTCCGATTGTCTCACATCTACCAAAGTTTTGAACCTAAAATCCTTATGACTATTTCATGATATAATACCATATTAATACAATAAAATGGCATTTCTGATTCATCAGGGGATTAGCGGCATCGCTTTTAAGTGGGTCACCCATATTTAGTCAATGGATCTTCTTGTTCTAAGTCTTAACTTCTTTTGTGAGACATGTCCAAGTACATGAAAAACTGATCCATGTCACTTCACCCCTGCACTTGACAGTGAACCCAGTCAACTTCCTGGGTCTCTGTTTTTAAATAACAAAGGATGACTTATATAAAATAAAATAATATATTTTCATCATTATTTCAAAAAAAACTTTGAGGAAAGAATACTATCGACTCATTATTTGCAATATGTAAACATTTATTTGCTTATTTTTTGATACAGTAATGAGTTGTAGCTGCTTGCAATGGCTAAGACAGGAAAAAATATTAAATGTACAGAAATATAACAAATGACAAAGATTCTCTGCCATGAACAATATTTCACCTTATTTGATGACAAAAAAGCACCCCTAAAATGTATTATCAACTGGTTCGTGTTTGAAAATCTATCAGGAGACTACCGATCAGTTGGGCATCCACAGATCAATTGGGCATCAAGTGAAATATCTCCCTACATATTTGATGCATCAGATATGCTCTAATATTACTACTTGATGGGTTGGCATTAAGAATATTTCAAGGTAAAAAATGTAAAAAAAAAATTACCCTTGCGCCAAATGTGCTTTCCCATCCAAAATTTTGGGATAACATACTGAACATCATGAAAAATTACACTTAATATAATACTTATAAGGCATCATTCTTTTTGGTTTTATCTAAAAAAGAGTGGATAGCAGACAGACTTGTGAAAGTCATTCCATCAAATACTTAAAATGAGCGCGTAACCATAACTGAAACACTACTGTCCTACTACTCTGAAAATCTTTTTAACAAATTTAAATCTATGAGAAATGAAACAAGTCTAAGCATGATATTTAATATAAAACCTGAATAAACAGAATATGGGCAAAGAAAAAATAACTTAATGATACTGACTAGTGTCCATATAAAATAGGAGTCATACAATAATACAGTGTTTTCAAATGAACCTTTCCAGTTAGTCTAGTGGAAAATGAGTAATTAGTTGACAGTAATTTAAGTTACACCAACAATATTGGTTTTATACTTGGCTAATATGGCATTTTAGAGAGCACATTACGTAATCCAAATATATAATAATAATAATAATAATAATAATAATAATAATAATACTTGACATGAATGTCTTATCACTGAAACAATACATATCTCTATGTAAACATATCTTCCATGGGATTTATGCATGTAATTAAATTAAGTAATATGGCATAACAACACAAGATCCATGAGTGCCCCTTTACAGCCTTCTGTCATATATGTACCAATGACATCTGCTGAAGAGCTGACAAAAATCATACACAAATATATATCATTACTTACTTTATAAAACATCTAGACTTAAGTACTTTTAACAGTACCTTATACTGTTTAAACATTACTCTTAGCAGTACGCTGAGATACAGGTATATTTTGTAAAGAATTGCCAGATCCCACCAATTAACTGGTGCGAAGTTCTGGCATTGACAATATTTTACTGAAATATTTTAGTTATATGGTACTAGTATATCTATACCTTAACAATATAAGCTTTAGAATCAGAGGTACTCTCCCTCTTCACCAACCTCTGCCCCTCCACCCCACCCCCACCAGAAAAAACAAAGATAATAAAAAAATAGAATAATAGAGGTGTTAAAATAAATGTGACTGTTTTGAGGTGATCAGTCAGTATAAAAATACAATGAAATATTGACATTTATGTTTTTTTTCATCAACACACACCATAATCACAAGACCCTGGGAAATGAAGTCCTTCCAGAGTTAAGAAACACAGGTCACAGACACTCCTGACACACATTCCAGTGATTCCGACTTGTAACCTTGACATGTTCTGGAAGTCTGAAGTCGGTTTTGCATTAAAACATAAAAAATGTTCTTAATCAGGTCCTTGGCTCAAATGAATACATAACTCTCAAGCAAAGTCCCTTACAAAGTGAACCTGACATACATGAAGACTATAATCCACAAGAGCTAGCTTTTTCATTTTCTATTTTCCCCAACATATGCCCACTTGCCCCTCTGAACTTCGGTCACATTGGATTGAAGGTCACCACACCAATCACAAAAGTTCTTTACATTTATTCACTACAGCACCATGTAATCCAGAGAGCATGCTACAAATTACATGTAGCTGTTGAACATGCACTAAACATGTATGTACTGGGTATGGAGGTTTGAAAAAGGCGAAGCTGACATGAATCAAACCTAAAGCGGAAAGTTACTGAAATGGACACATAGACCCCAGTGAAATACGTGGATTGCAATCAAGTCCATAGCTTTGGTTCTCCCTTGATGAACTCCGTGATCTCACACTTATAAATAACATTTCACTGATGACTGAGCCCGTGGTAGATGCTCTGGTGTTTTGCCCAGTCTTTCATTTTTTGTATTTTGGTTCTGGGAACCATCAGCCTCTTTGCGGCCCTCTGGATCTTCTTGTCGTTCTTACGCAGGTACATCTGAGAGTCATGGCGCAGCTGTTGCCACTTCTCGTCACGCATCTCGTCCAGTGTCAGGTCCTCGGACATGTAGGGGTTGAAACGGAAGTAGATATCTGAAGACATTAGGTCAGTTAGTCCCTGGTGAACGGCTGGAAAAAGAATCGGAAATTAATCAAACACACACACAAAGGCAAACACCTTATCATTATTTATTCTTACTTCTATTACTTTCATTATTCTTTTTTTTAAACTGGACAAAGCTAAAATCAAAGAGTATGTCATGGCAGCACTCACATGGACCTTGTACATGATCCATCCGTACCCACCATCATTATCATTATTTATAATTTAGAAAATAGCTATAATTTTGTTAAATCAATAAATGAAAAGCAAATTTGTGAAAATCATCATGTGCAATAAAATAAATAGTTGTGATAGAAATTCAACCTGTGGTCACTCACCTTCTGTGTCAGTGGCAGAGTTAATCATTTTAATGACCTCGTTAGTGGAGCTGGGGTCTCCTGTCTTGACCATCGGCTCGTAGCGTCCATTCCCCAGGGACACGATGCACTGGAATTCCTCCTCCGGCCACAGCAGCTTGCACTCATGGATGGCGATTAACGTTGGGTTGTTCTCCAAGCAACCTCCATCCTGAAAAGAAGTGAAGGTCGTGGTCATAAACTGATCAGCATGCTGGTCACTGGGACCTTTAGGCTTCAGAATACTACTCTGAATTACTGCCTAGATAAGACAGTACAAATAGATAATAGACTGATTGTTACCAAAACAAAAAAAAAAGATCAAATTTCCTCTAGTCAAACCAGGCCCCATATCTTGAAAGCATCGCGTATTGCGAATAGCGATATCACATAGAGGCTACAATGTATTATACGGGGCGAGTATGGGCAAGTTATGGAATGGAGACACTTGCGCACGGTCGCAATGTGCGATGCTTTCGAGATACGGGCCCAGATGAGCAATTTTGAAAATTCTGTTTTGCTTGTCTGGTGCAAAATCTACGAGTCAATCAGTTGTCTAGCACCATAAAAAGTTTTTTTTAAAACTGGTTTAGATTTTTTGGTTCAGATTTTTAGACTTTTTGTTGTTATTCATTCAAAAGTGTTAAAACCTTATTGGAAAAAGGAAAGTAATTCATGAAAATGCATGTGTTTACCCTCAATATCATGTCATCTTTGATAACTTCACGGAAATACACTGGTGCTGCTGTTGATGCTCTCACTGCCTCCCAAACTTTGCTGTTACACGTCCCCTCGTAACGCGACTGGAGTTGGTAAGGTATGTCGTAGGTTCGGAAGAGGTATGTTTGGTACTTGGACATCCCTGGTTTACTGACTGCAGCAGCTGCTGACACCTATTGGCAGTACACAAAATTATGGTATTGACTTTACATATATTTGTTGTTCTTTCTACAAAAAGTTACTTTTATGTTTCTCAATGGACAATGATAAATTACCAACCAAAACAACACTTTCTTTTCACGATTTGAAAGGAAATCATCTTCAGTAAATCATTAAGTAACTTATGTATATACATCATCACAAACCAAAATAATATATAATATGCAAAGAGAACATACAACAAAACCCTACAACAAATCACAAAATCTAATTAAAAATTAGATATTCTGAATCTATAATGCTGGACAGTGGTTATTTTCTTCAAAAAAAAAAAAATTTGGTCAGATATGCAGCAATTTTTAAGTTTATAAAAAGCTCTCACCTTTGGACTATTCATATCTATATTGGAGTGGATGAGTGTTTTGTCTCCCATATTACCACTGGATTGATAGAAAAAAAATTTAAAAATATATTCTTCAAAAGCACATATTCTACTGTGCAATTTAAATATAATGGATTTATAGCAAATACTTGTAGATAGCCTCTATAAAGTATACTACAGGTGCATATACTTCAATTATTATATACTTTGATCACAGTTATCAACACATGATACCAATTTAACCACATTTTAACAGAAACAGCAAACAAATGTATAAATTATTATTTTAAACAAACCTGAGGATTTTCTCCCAAATTTCTGAATTATACACTGAGAAGACTTTGACTAGATTCACTGCACCATCGAAAGTACCCTGCTTGAAAAGTTCTCGACTACACCTGTTGCAATATTCTTCACACTCATCGAGAGGAAGACGCCATGTTCCGACCATAAACGCCAAAAGGGACCCTGCGCTGACACCAGCAATATAGTCAAATAATTCATAAATTTTTTTCCCTGTGGCAACCTCCAACTGTCTCATTGTTTCCAGTGCGACAATAGCCCTGAAAATACAGTTTAGTTCTATACATAAACAATTACATCTACTGTACCAGGTTTCCAAATTTTTGCAATATTTCCATGTTGTCAAAGCTATGGTTCCAGTAGTTTGTATCTGTTGAGAATACAAAGTATTATTTGAAACATAACACATAACTTTGTTTGTTCCATATAGAATTTGAAGGACCTACGGTGGAAAAATTGATCAAGCAAAGGTTTGTTTATTTTATTGACTTTTTAAATTTTAAAATAATTTAAAAAAATAAATGAAATAAAAAAAAAACAAAAGCAATTTAAGAAACTGAAAATACTAGAATAATTTATGTACCTTATTCCCCCTCCATCAATGGTGAGAAGACGAATCCCCCGTCCCTTCACTGGGTCCATGTATCCCAGCATTGCCAGGGCCTCGGAGATCTCAGCAGTGATGGCAGCATCTCTCCGCGCAAAGTGACGCATCCTTAGCAGACAAGTCACTACTCCATACTGTGAAGTTTAATGTTAAAATATACTGTTAAATGTGTTTTTTTTTTAATGGGCCTAGAACACTGACATTATAACATATTCTCTTGCTAAATCATAATATTACAGAGCATATGTGTCCACCTTCTATTCATCTAACTATTATCTAACTAAATGTTCGAAAATTCACTGGTCCATATACAATTTCCTCCCCCCTCCCCCAAGATAAACTCACCTTTACAGACATTCGCCTGGCTTCTGGAAAATCTAAAAGATGCTTGCAAAAAATCTCCAATCGATGTAACTTAGAGGATGAAGACTTTGCCTGTTGCAGACTAATCACAAGTTCTCGTGTACGGGTGTTTATCTGATCCCGCGAAACTTTGCGTATTTTCTGTCTTAATTTAGCATCTTCGTCCTTCTTCAGCATAGGGATATAACTGGCAAGTCCTGCAAGATTCAGTCCACTAGCATCAGTTTTTGTCTCTGATTTCTTAGCACCTACAAAGAACTTTCTTTCTTTTTTCTCTTTCTCTTGAACATCACGAACGATTGGGTCAATTTCATTGGCTTCTAACATGTCGCTCATCCTCTCCTCATATGTTTTATCACGCCTTGTGAGATTTACTGTCCTTTGAGCCACAGGCTCTACTTCATTACTATAGACAGTCCTTTCCTCTTTCTTCTCTGATATATTCTTGGTATCTTTCGCCCCTTTTTTTACTGTTGTCCTGGTCTTAATGCCCTGAGGTTCAGGAGATTTTTTATCTTTTAACGGCAATCCCCAGGGTGGCCAGCGCATTTGACCCTCAGCTAAAGCTGAATTGATTTGCACAGTAGCAGAGCTTAGAGTGACTCGAACGTTTTTCACCAGATCCTGTGTCAGCTTTTTAGCAGCCATTTTGGGAGAGGTCACACCAATAATAAATGTTATAATTTCATTTGCTGCTTTGCAGTATCTTGGTGGTTTTCTATCAAAAATTCCACAGCAATTCTTTATTAAATGTCCCTTTATGCACACTTTCACATGATCAGGATGTTTGTAGATAAATCATAAGTGCATCACCTCAACTGCTGGTTCTCTGCCATCACTGCAGTGCCTGGAATAATAATAATAATAATAATAATAATAATAATAATAATAATATTTTTACTGACAACTGTCAAGTCAAATGCTGTCATATGTGTCCATAATATATAGGACAGTAGTACAAAACATACTGTACATGTGCCTGAATTCCAAAGCTACTTTGGGTGAAAGAATGGTAATGAATACAATAAATTAAAAAGCAGTTTAACCTTTAAAAAATACATTTAAAGAAATTCAAAGAAAAAATTCTGCCATGATACAACTATCAATCACTATAATTGCTACTCTTTTTAATGTCAAAAGGCTTAAAAGTGTAACTACAGAATAAGAGTGATCAAAAGAATATGACGAGAGGCACGTCTAACCTGACCATATTCCACCTAAAATAATGATAACAAATCTAACAGCTGGCTGACCTAGTTATAAAGTACCTGACATTTAACATGTTGATGTCAGTGACCTTAGTAGAGGCAACAGCATAAACAGATAGCAAACTGCTCTTCTTCATTCTTATCTACCATGTACTGGCTGAGTACAGCCTTCTTTAAACATCAACTTTACCAAGTTCTAGAAGATTAATGTATTAACTTGCTGTAAGTGTACATCTATTTATGGTTTCTGATATATATACAAGGTTATACCGCCAACTAGTGCATTTGGTCCAATGTGCAACCGTAAACATGATTGCTAATTTAATGCATGAAACTTAATGATAATCATAGCTAGTATCAGAATAGTGGTAATATGTCAGATTTAACCATCCTGCGCTCAGAATCCTCAGAACCCCTGACAGATACTACATGTAGCTGTCGCTTAAACTATATACAGGTACTTCCCAGGGGCGGATCCAGGGATATTTTGTGACAGGCTTCCGAATTTTCTTTATTGTTCCACCCTCCACTTTTGACCGTCTTCCGAAAGAAAAAATTAGATAGCCGTCAATGTAAACTTGAAAATCTGACCGTCTTCCGGAAGTCCCAGAAGACGGCCTAAATCCGCCCCTGCTTCCTATTTGCCACACCGGTATACTAGTACTAGAAACGGCCCAGGCATCAACTGCTGATAATATAAGGCCAAGAGGGTGCTAATTGGTCTCTGACACTCAGAGTGGATGTCACGTATGCTAGTCAACTTTGTTTACTTTGATTTAAATGATAAAATTAACACATAACGTATAGATGTAGTATTAATAATTTAATTTCATTTGGGTGCCATGGCAGCATAACGTTAACTTGGTAAAACATGACATCAATAAATACTCATGTCAGCCAAGACAAAGAAGGGTCTAAAACTTGTCAAAAACAAGACTTAAATTCATAGCTAACAGCATAGCTGCGAGTTCAACTTGCCAAACCACGCTGACGTTTTGTAAATAATATGTACTGTAGATTGTAGTCTACGTTTATTAATCCATTTCTCTTTTGATTTTGCCAAACTTTGTCGAGTTAACGCTGAAATAGGGTAATATGCTTACCTTGGTCTCGAACGGCTCTCACATTTGTTTGTTGTCACACGTCGATCTAACCCTATATGAGGTCAGTTTGTATTTATAAACATTTTGAATGGACCAAAACATGGCGTGATTCTCGGACGAAATCCCCTAAAATTTTCCGTTAGACGCATTTTGATTGGTTAACCTAGATATTATGCAAAATGATAATATCATTGCACGGCCGATATGTTTGTGTTCGTCAATTCTTTCGTTTTCTTGTCATCTTTGAAAGATCTATGCTGTTAGTTATGTAATGAGAAAATGCCAATCGACGAGATATCACGCTGCCTTTCTAGAAAATCCACTCTGTAGAGGCATGGGGACGACGCCCCTTTCTAGTGTCCAATAGGAAATGCTTTTGCAAACACGCCCTAAAACTGCGATTGTAGTTGCTGCGCTTCTGTAAGGTCTAATTGCTCTAACACATCGTCTGACGCTATATCTGACTGAGTTGTATCTGATTAAAAATAGCCTTCCGAGATAATCATATCAGCTTTGCGTGTCGTATTTAATGCATTTACAGAAAAACAAGGAAATAAAACCCATATATCTACATCCATAATTCATAATCCATAATTCATCGAAATCTGGGAGGGAAATTAGGTCTACAGTTTAGAAAATAAAATTAACCTAAAAATTGAAAAACCTGTTTTGGGAAGATCAATCAAATAAACTGCGCACATATAAACTACTATAAATAGATGGGCGGAGCTGAAAAATACCCTGAAATAAATTCCAGAAACTCCCAAGAAAATAAATTTAGATTAAGAATCAACTATCACGATTACCTCCGCCAAGGAGGTTATGTTTTCACCCCCGTTTGTCTGTCTGTCTTTCTGTCTGTCATCCACATAACTCAAAAAGTTATGGACCGATTTCGATGAAATTTTAAGGAACTGAAGTGGGCCAAGAAACAGATGATTAGTTTTTAGTGGTGATCCGGATCAATAATCAATCAATAGGCCTAATCAACAATCAAAAATCAAAAAACTAAATCATTATAGAATGATGGGGTGAAACGGCATTAGGCGGAGACTTTGCTGCCTTGGCGGAGGTCTGCGCTTTCGGAGTGCTTTTCTAGTTTGACTAATGAAAGAACAAGAAAGAAAGAAAGAACTACAAGAAAGAACGTGCAAACACTGCCACAATCAAATTGAAGATTAACAACTCTTTTCACTAGACTTTAAAAATATGTAAAAAAAGTGACAGAGCATGCAGAGCTGCCTATTAAAGACAGATATAGAAAATTATTATTTGTTGATCAGATACTAAAATATATATACCTTAATCCAAAGATCTGAATAATAAATCTCCTGGGGCAGCAACTTAATTCATAGCATCAGCAAAAAAGCGCTCATCACACTCTTCTATATACTGATAGACAAGTATCTATCATATTATATTATCTATTGTAGATTAGGTCTCAGAATGCTAATTTTTCTACTAGTGATAGCTAAGAAAATATTTGCTCTAAAACAAAACAAGTTCTGGCCTCTCTAATTTCAGACATTACCTGGTATGTGATATATATAGATATCTCCCATTCCAACCAAAAATATCAAAGCTTGCCCCAAGACTTAAAAATAACAGAGAACAAAAGAAATACTTTTATTACGCACTATGGACTCACACATCCACATTTCACATAAAGAAAGAGGTCCTATCTATTTGTTTGATACAATGCGATGAATTTATTGATAGGGGCCTGAAATCCTCAGGCTTTTGGCAACTTGCAGGGGCATATACAGTTGAAAATAATAACAACATTTATTGGTAACTAAAAGTTGGGTGTTACATTCTGTGCCTAAATTTTTGCATTCTGAACAGTACATTAAAGTTTACAAGTACATGTGGACGCGTTACTTTGCACCGTTTTTCATTTTCAAGTCGCTTGGACATATACTCATCAAAGTGAATAATGTTTGTAAAATTGTTTATATAATCTGTTTTCACCATGGGATTTCATTGCCTTTCCATTCAAAAAACTTCCCAGTTTCATTTTCGGTCAGTCTGTCCATGACGTCCAGCATGCCCTTCACGCTGTCACTGAGCTCGTGAATGGCGTTACTTCCGCCCATTTGTGTTTTCACCCAACCCGGATGTAGAACGGCCGCCAGTATACCATCACCCTTCAGGTCCACTGACATCGACACTGTGGCAATATTCAAAGCAGCCTGGAGTAGGAAAAAATCACACATCGATTCAGTGTGCAACGAAATTTCTCCGACCATAAATGATTGTAACGTTTTTCAAATGACGTCTGTAATTTTTAAATGCTATGACCTGACAATTTTTAAATGCTATAAACATGCACAATCGAAAAAAGGCCTTGTCTTACCCAATCATGTCTCGTTTTTTAACATTTTAATGAGATCTAAAATAATGTCAAATCATTTGCAAAAATCCGTGGTAATTAGCCTACCCCCCCCCCCAATAATAGCGTATCATTTGCGTACTTATGCGTACATGTATGTTAGCCTGCTTTGAACAAATACTACATGTACAGCTCATCACATAATTTCAAATCGAGTCTACTTAAAATAAAAAGTAGATATACAAGATATACATGTAGTCCTACCTTGCTACACCTGTACGGATAGTGTTTCCCGCTTTGGTTGTCTGCACAAGAGCCCACTTTGCTGGTGATATTTATAACGGCTGCTCGAGAACAGCTGAGTCCTCCCGTGGCGCGTGCACTGGCTGCCTTCAATAGGGGAAGAAACGCCTGAATAACAAAAGGAAGCCAAGGTTAATATTTTATGCAAATATCTTTATAAATCATAATTTGTGTATGTAAAAATAATCCTCGATAAAGAACCCTTTGTTAATATGTATATTAATATTTAAATTTAAATATAAAAGTTGTGATAAGAAGGTCAACGGCGTTCGGTGTCCAACAGGAGACTAAGTTTTTGGATCACCACGCAATTACTTGAACAAACCAAATCCGAATAATGCTTGAAAACCAACATCACGCGTAAGAAAAAAAAAGTTGAATGTACTTTTGGTTTCACTCTACCTGTGTAATCATAACGGGGGCTATGGTGTTCACCTCGTACACTTCTCTCATTGCCTCGGGTGTGACAGTGGAGAGGTCGTGTCGTAGTAAAAGTCCGGCATTGTTGATGAGAAGATTTAGGCCAAGATCTCCAACTTTACTCTGCACATGGGGAACCACTGTGTTGCGGAGAGTGGCGTAATCAGTTACATCTATGGTAAAAAAATATATAGACTGATATGTGAAATTCGTGTATTAAGAAGTTAAGGGAACAGAAAGTTACTCACAATGAAATTGTGATGCATGTTTAATCGTTTGTTTCTTAAATAAAATATCTGGGAATTCTGAAAAAAAAAAAGAACAAGCAACAAAATGAAATATTTCCCTCTACATCCGAGCATTAGGCATCGGTCACATGAAAAATCTAAATTCCAAAAAATCCATTGGCGGTATCTAGTGATCACGGTCTGTGATCACTAGATACCGCCATGGATTTTTGGAATTTGGATTTTTCATATGAACGATGCCTTATATTTACGTCTTACTAAGTACAGAGTCAATCATAAAGGGTTATGAACGCTATTTGGGCCATTTATCGATTGCTTATTAAAAATATTACCTAATTTTACGATTTCAATAGACGGGGTATCCTTGGCCAACGCTTGGAGATCCTGTAAAAAAGCAGACAAACCATATAATGCCATAGGAATATTATGCATTTTTTTTCAGGCAATATCATTATCATGCAATATGGATTTCTTCCATATGACCAAGAAGATTTTATGTGGTTGAAATCTCACCAGATATAAGGTAAGTTGGATATTTACCAGATTATAATGAAAATCAATAATCAAGCAGTTATATTTAATTAATGTGTTAAAGCACCGATAAATTAAACACGAGCCCATATACTGTAGCACAAGGACGAAAGCAGATTCTAGTGAATATCTAATATGTAGGTCACCGGGATGAAAAAATTGTTTGGTGTTGACTGCTTTCGCTTTTTTTTTTTTTTTTACGAAGGGATTGACCTCTAAAACGTACCACTTGTCCTCTCCCCCTTGGCCCGTCATTGATTCGTTATCATTGTGCATACAGTTACACTGCTACGACTTACTATAGGTCCCTTATGCATCGGTTCCTTAAAAGTTGTACCCTTAGATTTTGCTATTTACCTGTAGGAATCCAAAAAATAAGGACCAGTCTGTACACAAGGGGTAGAACTTAATGTACGGTATAGAATTGCACTGTATCAAGCTTTTTGTGGCCGAAGCGCGTCGTTATATAAGCAACTCCCATGTGAAACTTTATGCACAGTTTATATAGGCCTACTGATGACAAATCACCCATAGTCTCACCTTCGCACGGTCGGGATNAGTTCTTCGTTTGTTCATTTATATGATTCTATTCAGTCATGGAAATTCATATTCAATGCACGCGAAATACTGACGTGACCCAGTTTTACAACGCTACTGCTTTCACAAAACTAACCCGTAAATCAGTAGAAAATCTTCTCCAAATTTATAAAATCAACAAAGTGCACTTAATTTTCTCCATTTTTATCAGTGAATAAACGTAAACTATAAAAACACACAACAGGCGGTCTTAATTTCGGAACATGACGAAGTGACAGAGAAAGTGTATTTGTGACATGTGACTAAATGTTGTCGAGAGCAGTTGCCTCGTTTCGCTCTGTCTCGTATACTTCAAATAAAGCACAGAACTGCGAAAACGAGGCACTCACAGGGAGATGGCATACGCGCATGCGTATTTTCGTTACTACTAAATCAAGTGCTCAGAAGCATGGGATTACGTACAGTATGTAAATAGAATGCCATATTTGCTTAGAAATAAATATAAATTTCAGTTAGCATGAGTGAAAATATACTTTTTTGTTCCATTCAGCCCAGCGAGGCGGTGCTTTCGACAAATTTCAGCGCGGCGCCTCGCTCTTTATATGCTGGAGAAACACTGGCTTTTATTTACGCTAAAAACAAGTTCGAGTGTAGTGCTTGCGACAGGTCATTAATAATTATTAACTTGTCAAATGAAACGATCATCAACATTTCCGAAACGATCAACAATATTTCCAACCGGCACAGTGAGTGCCAAATAACCGTGCCGTGTGGAAAATTATTAATCGTGCCGGGGAGAATAAGATCGTGCCGGGTGGAAAATTTCCGGAAAAAAAATAAACGTGCCGGCACGTTTATTTGGCACTTCAGAGTAGGTATTTGAACGTGAAATGTATACTTGTAGTGTAAATCCGTCAGAGTGAATTAATGCTTTTATATATCAAAGTGGTAGCCATATTTAATGATAAGAACCCACTAGCGTTTTCCTGTGTGCTGTTTTATTAGCCTTTTTTAAACAACTGTAGACTCTGCACTCTGTGTTTTATCATTAATGAAAATTCCAATGAACTGAAACAATATTTTGCATTAATAACATAAGAATGACGTGCATTGCTTGAAATGGTTTATATATTTATATAGAGAGATTAACAAGTCTCTAGAGCCTCAATTATACCTGAAGCTTAGTAAGCCACACCCAATAAGGTGCTCTTAGTAAAGCAGATGTGTGGATAATGATGAACAATAGCCTGAGTACCTGACTGAGTTCACTTTATACAGACTACTATCTTATTACTATTTACAAAAAAACAAAAGTGTATCCAAAAACTAACAAAACTGGAATTTTCTAATACAATCCCATTACAATCATAGCGTTGTGATTGTTAAATCTTTGAAATAATACGTAGGTTTAGATAGATAAGTAAGAGGAATGTGCGTTTAATACTCTCAGCTGTTTTTTTTTTTTTCATGAAATATGAAATACTTATAAATAACACATAAAAATATCTCATTAGAATTTCAAAAAATGTATCCGATTTCATATATACGGAATGAATAAAGATGGAATAATAAAAGCAGCCCCACAATGAATTTGATTTTTAGCAACTGCCAAGAAATTGTTTGAATATTGCTGAGGTTGGAAAGCGTTGACTATGTAAGTATCACAACTGAAAAAGGAAGGCTATGTTGGTTTTCCTGTAAAATGTTCACGTAAAATAATATGCTCATCTAGTTCAAGGAATTTCAACAGTTGAAACTCCTTGTCTAGTTTAAGGTAGGGCCTAATAGGTGTGCTTAAATGCATTAAAATGTTTTGCTTTCAATAGAAATGGAGTAAATCGTTATACTGAATTATTTGTTCTTACTGTGATTTTAAAAAAATTTGGAACAATAATTCCCAGTGCACGATTAAAGTAATTATCTCAAAACTAGGCGCCATTCTGAATTGATTGTCAAATTGGATATTAACCCTAGATGCACTTCTGTTCATTTTTTTTCACTAATAACTTTTATCTGTACAAAACAAAGCCAAAACAGTGTATTTAATAAAACATTCCTTCACCAAGGGATTTCATTGCCTTTCCATTCGAAAAATTTCCCAGTCTCATTTTCGGTCAGTCTGTCCATGACGTCTAGCATGCCCTTCGCGCTGTCACTGAGTTCGTGAATGGCGTTACTTCCGCCCATTTGTGTTTTCACCCAACCCGGATGTAGAACTGCCGCCAGTATACCATCACCCTTCAGGTCCACTGACAGCGACACTGTGGCTATATTCAAAGCAGCCTGGAGGCAGAAAAGACAATTCAATTCAATGTGCACTGAAATTTCTCCATATACGATTTTTAATTAACTCAAATGATGCCTGTAAACAGGTGCGTAGGCGAAAATTAATCTTGTCTTACCAGCTGATTTCCTCAATTGTATTTCGTTTTCTACATTTCATCTCATGGAAATAAAAAATCACATTGAAATCACTCGCAAAAAATTAAAAAAAAAATCCACAGTAATCGTCTTCCTTGTCCTGTTGCACCCTCTGCCAGGGTGGCAGATATTACAGGCACATTTTCCACATTTCCACCCTGTAACTTTTGGCCAGAAGGAAGCAATAAAATCTGCGTGCGCGCAGATAGCATTGTATCCGCTCTGTAGCTACTACAGGGGATCTCTCAGTCAACTTCAATCTGGAGTAACAACCCTTTCAGAAGGGACTACTCTTATCTGTCACAAAAGACATTTCATCACAGGGTGACAGAGAACCAAATGACCGTCTTTTTATCTTAAGACATATCTGCGAATATATTGTGAAAAATCAAGCTGTGGTCCTGGTAGAGGGTAGCCCTGTCGTCTCAGGGGAGGATATTGCCCTGCTTTAAACAGGCGCGCGTGCAAAAGTCATGCAAAAGAATGGTCTACTTTAAAAGCTATGTGCTAGAGATATAGTTTTACCTTGCTACACCTGTACGAATAGTATTTTCCGTTTGTGTTGTCTCCGCAAGAACCCGCTTTGCTGGTGATATTTATAACGGCTGCCCGGGAGCAGCTGAGTCCTCCCGTGGTGCGTGCACTGGCTGCCTTCAGTAGGGGTAGAAACGCCTGAATAACAAAAGGAAGCCAAGGTGGATTATTTAAGGGGTAAACATTCATTGATTAGAACTTTGATGCAACATTAAAGTTAAATCATTCATTTTTTTAAAATACGCATCTTAATATTTAAATCTAATAGTATTTATAAGTACGCTAACGTACTTCAGTTCTTACATGCAGAGAATTAGTCAAGCGCGTAAAATAATTAAAAATACTCAAAAGAAAAATACATTAAATGTGCTCATCACACTACCTGTGTAATCATAACGGGAGCTATGGTGTTCACCTCGTACACCTCTCTCATTGCTTCTGGTGTGACTTTGGCGAGTTCGTCTGGTATTAAAACCCCGGCATTGTTGACAAGAAGATTTAAGCCAAGGTCTCCAACTTTACTCTGAACATGGGGAACCACTGTGTTGCGGAGAGTGGCGTAATCGGTAACATCTATAGTACAGATAATCATATAAATAACAAACTCTTATAAGAAATTAGGGGAAAGGAAAGTGGCTCACAAGGAAAATGAGATATCTGTTTTCTTTTTGTTTTGGTTTTTTTTTTAAGGAATCACTGGGAAATCTGAAAACGATCATCAAAACTGGATATTTCCCCTCTAAACTTGTCTGTAGCAATAAGGTCTTAGTACAGTGCAAGCGATGCAGGTTCATTTATACTATCTAGGTTGTTTTCAGACAGGTAAGTTTCATCTTTAGTTTATCTGAATTTTTACCCAATTTTACGATGTCAATAGACGGGGTTTCCTTGGCCAACGCTTGGAGATCCTGTAAAAAAACAAACAAACAAACCATATAATGACAAAAACATGTTATGCAGTTATTTTAAGCAATGATCATTATCAAGCATTCAATATGGAGTTCTGCCATATGACGGAGAAGAGGGGGGGGGGGGCAGCTCTACTGGGTACATACGTAACAAAGGTTCTCTATTCCAAAAAAAAAAAAAAATGCGCGAATGTGCTCTGACATACAAATTTAATACAAAGTTGAGATTTTAACCAGCTACCATGGGAATCAATAATCTAGCAATGTAAACATTCAGTCGGTGTCCATTGCGTTTTCACAAAGGTCACTTTAAAAGTTTTGCGATGACGGATAAAGGATTCTCATGAAGTCTGAAATGCCTAAATTTAAGGGAAAGGGGGCACAAGCAGAGATGCCAACCACCGGAAATCTAAATTCTGGAGATTCTAAAATTTGGTCAATGGGGGAGGGGAGTGGTCGCTGCCGTTGCCCTACTCAGTTGGAGGGTTGGGGGAGCGACCACTCTCCCCCCCCCCCACCCCCACCCCCAGAGTGAAATTCAAAAAACCGAATTTTTTTGGATTTCGGTATTAGAGACAGGACGTTAGCTGACATTGGTGCAAATTTTCAAAGTCGCTTTTATCCGGGAGATATGGGTAGGCCTACCCGTACGGGGACCAGGAGAACGTTCTGTACCCGGAAGACTCCCGGATTATCCGGGAGAGTTGACATGTAGGCTATGTATGCAAAAGAATGAAATAAATTCTAATACTGCTATATGTCAGATATGTAGGTCACAAGCATGGAAATTGTTTGGCTTTGACTCGTTAATCGTAATTAATGTAATATCGTTTTTGAGAGGGGTGGGGAGGGGGCGGGGAATGG